CGGTAGGGAAGGGCGGCTGCCGTAGCCCCGTGAGGTAGCCTGTCGACCGGTAGTTGCACAGGGCTAGGTACCTGAGGGCCCTGGCCTCGGCGAGGTGCGTGTCTGTGTGTCTGAAGCGCGGGTGCTGGGGCAGCAAGTGTCCGTGGGCCCAGTGAGAAATCGGCTATGCCGTTCGGGCTACCCCTAAAGAATAAATAAGAGTGTAGGTGCCGTGCAGGTGGCACAGTGGCTGTGCAGATAGGTACATCTCTTTATTGGCTGGTGGGCTACCTACCTGCTGTTCCCAAGATTTAGCCGGAGGTGTTTCTGTGCTGGGATGCTCTGGCTGCGATTCTGGCAAAGGTGAGCTCAGTGGGGTGGCCAAAGGGTTAAAGCTTTTTCATGTCGCAGTTCCAGGGCCTAACGTTAGAGCTGCATATGTGTAAGTACTTGGGGCTGGAGACAACCTCCTAAAAATTGCTATTCATGTAGACTCTGCAGGATCTCAGGAAGTTTTGGCCACAATCTTGGCTGCTTCTTGCTCTCTCAGTATGTGAATAGAAAAATCCCAAACTGACACAGGATGAGCTGTCATGTTGCCCTCTGGGCAAAGCTGCTTATTTTCTCTTTGAACTGCAGACTGGCATGGAAAATGGATCAAGGGATATGAGTCTGATGTGTGATGCGGTAAAGCATCAAGCAGATTCTGCTTTGGTGTTTAAGTGGTGACTTTGAACTCTTTTATAAGATCTTTACAGACAAAACTCTGTCTATAAGGCTGACTTCAAAAAGTGAGTTTGGTGCTTGCAGAAGGGATAAAACTGACAACAGAAGGGGCAAAGTTTTGTTTGTTTATATACTTCATGAACAACAGCAATAGATGATTCTTCATCCTGCCCATGACCTGGGTGCAACTCTTGGCTTAGGAAGGTAGCTGTTTCACCATGATAACCAATTCTCTGCCTTTCTGCCTCAAATTGCTGAGGTCGCTTTTGAACATTATATGTGTAAAATGGATGTGAAAAGGACTATCCACCATTACAAAATTTATAAGCAGTTTCAAAGTGGAACCTAAATTTGGAATCTCTTTAAAGTTCCGCAGATTCAGTCCCTGTGATCCTTGCTCTGCTGCAGCTGTTGAGTGCCACAGCAGCACGTAAGGCCATCTGTAAATAGAAATTATGAAATAAGGTTAGTACCTTTGTACAGTCTTTTGGTAGTGTCAAAGTTAAATATCTTTTACTTTGACTCTCTACTTTTGTCTTTTTTTCTTTTTTAAATTCCTCATAGTGTTGAGCAGGTAGAGAGAAGCACAGACTTTTTTTCCCCCTCAGTTTTAGTTATGGATTAACCTGCACTGTGGTCTCACTGAGATAAACTGTGATTGTTTTCCCTTTGAATTCTGGTTTATATTAAGATTGTGTAGGGACTGGAAACATTTGGTTTGTGCACACAAATGTCACATGGTTCCCACTTAAAGGTTGCTTTGCAAATTTGAGTGCTTCATGATTGAAGAGGCATTGTTAGGGGAATTCTCTTGAAAAGATCTAGAGTTATTAATAGGAGTGGAGGCTATTAAAATTTCATGATGACTTGATTCTTCTGACTTCCACAGATAACAGTATTTCCAGGTCATGTATCATAGTAGCAAATGTAACTGAACCCTTGTTTTCTGAAAGGTCACTGTTGTGGTTTAACCGGCAGGCAGCTAAACACCACACAGCTGTTCACTCACTCCCCACCCCCCCAGTGGGATGGGGGAGAGAATTGGGGGGGGGGGGAAGAGAAAGACAGTTTAATAGGACCAAAAAGGAAGGGAAAATAATAATACTGATAAAAGAATACACAAAACTGGTGATGCACAGTGCAATTGCTCACCACCTGCCGACTGATGCCCAGCCAGTTCCTGAGCAGCAGTCACCCTCCCCTCTCCCCTTCCCCACTCCCCCCCCCAACTCCCCCCAGTTTGTACACTGAGCATGATGTCATATGGTGTGGACTATCCCTTTGGCCAGGGATATTGGGTCAGCTGTCCTGGCTGTGCCCCCTCCCAGCTTGTCGCTGGCAGGGCATGAGAAGCTGAAAAGTCCTTGACTAGTGTAAGCACTACTTAGCAACAACTAAAACATCAGTGTGTTATCAACATTATTCTCATCCTAAATCCCAAACACAGCACTGTACCAGCTACTAGGAAGAAAATTAACTCTATCCCAGCCAAAATGAGGACAGTCACGCCATAACTGAGGCAGATGTGAGGGAGTTGAAGTTTTGCAGCAGTCATTGGCTGCTGAGATATGAATTGGGACAAGTGCAACTTGCATGAAATTACATTAAGTGTTTCTGAGTATGTGCTACGTGTAATTCAGTTACTTGCAAAATAATACACTGAAATTTGTTTCTTGATTTAAAAAAAAAAAATACTGTGATCAAACAACACTTAGGAACACCTAGGGGAAAACAAGCATGGTTATATACAATTTTCCAGTATTGCTGTCTATCTTTGCTGTCCCTGGATTTTGGTAATACCTCCATATTTATCTGAACAGGTGGTCAGTCATTCTTCAGCCGAAAGGACTCCATCCGAACCATCTACACATCTCTGCATAATGAGCTGAAGAAGGTGGTGGCGACGGGTCGCAATGCACTAGGAGGAACAGCTCCTCACTTGGAAGAGCTGCTTTCTCACCTGTCTGAACAGCTCTGTTTTTTTGTTCAGGCTCGTATGGAAATTGCAGACTTCTATGAAAAAATGTACACGCTCAGCACCCAAAAGTTCATTAACTCTGAGGAACTGGTAAACATTTTGGAATCCATCTTAAAGAAATACAGCTCAAGGTCAGTGCTTATTTGCTGGCAGTAAGTACTCAGACATATGATCTGTAATAAATGATGTTGAGGTTCAACGCAAGCCTAAAGACTTTGCTGTCCTTTGACTGCTGAGCAGCACAGCCCCTTGCATGAATTCGTGCATGAAGTCAGTGTTGGTCAGCGGCATCAGATCCGTGCAGTCTCAAAATATGACTTCTCTGAAGAAGAAAAATAAAAAGGGAGAGTGTTTCTGCTCGTCATGTTCTAGGAGCCATCTTCCCTATTCCTTAATTAATACTCTGCACGTTCATATTCAGCAGACAGGAAGGGTAATTTTCCTTATAAAAGATGTAAGACTTCTTGCGCTTTTTCATTAGGAGTGGAGGGGAAACAAGACTTAATTCCATATGGACTTCAGTAAAATTGGTATGTAAATAAAACAGATATTTGCGTGACAATTTTACTTTTAGGCTAGATATATATCTGCTTAATTCTAAAAGCTACACCATTGCTATTTGGTCTACCTAGTAGGGTTTTATGGTGCTCCGTTATCGCTTTTCTTGAGAGGTATTGGAACCAGTAGAAGGAGCACCTCTGAGTCTTTGGTCCCTGCCATTACGGTTTCCTGAAGTTAAGATCTAATAGTTCTGTTACAAGAATCCCAGGATGTTTCTAAATGACTCTGGGGTGGGTATTTCACATCTAACACATGTGAGCCTTGAAAGTGATGGCAGTTTAAAAAAGAGAGAATTTTTGAATGCTTGTCAACAGACTCAAATTCTAGGTCTTTATTTGTAGCCATTGTAGGAAGATAACTTTCAAACGTACTTGAATTTTTTTAAATCTTTGTTAGTGAAATAGTGTCTAAGAAGACATTTGGGAAGACTATTCTGAGGTCGTCTTTTTTTTTCCAGTGACGATTTTTAAAGCATACACCTAGGAAAAATTGGAATACTTCAGTGCTGCTTTCTGATATTTCAAATCTAAGCACTGCAGCTGACTCCCTTTTTTAGGAATAAGTTAGGCAAATTGTTACGTAATTTTGCTATTTGAAAATCAAAACTAGTCTATATGATCTTGCTAGCGATTGTTTTGCAGTTCTTGGTTTGTGAACCCTTACAGTACCAGGGTGGTTAGTCCAATGAAAAATGAAACTTACATATTTTTTCCTTGGTGTGATAAACATTAAAGAGTAAAGGGAGGTAAGTTGTTTTTTGGGGTTTTTTGTTTTGTTTTTTTAAAGCTGATTTATGTTGTACACTAACCATTGCCATCTGTTCTGAGCGTGTGCTGAGTCAACAGCACTGTTAAAAATCTGAAAACCAGAACTGATACTTTGATGAAGTGACTGGAGACTGTTATATATGAAATGTTTTACTACGCTATTTAAATAAATTTCAGCAATATGTCTGCACTTCCAAGGCATTATTATAACCTCTTTAAGAAAATAAGCAGTGTCTCCCTGGGAAAAATACTGATAATCTTGCTTTGGGTTAATGAGCAGTCTCTAAGATGGAGACATTCTAAGATGCTGTCAGAGCTAATTCAGTAGCTGCTGTGTGGTCCTCCCCAGTCATGTACAGAATATTTCTGAAAAAAGTGGGGATAATGATATCTTCCTTTAGTCCTTCCTTTCATTTCTTCGTATCTCAGGTCGGTTTCTGGGGGCTGTTATGTTGATGTGTGCTGGCCCGAAGGCATTTCTGTTTTACAGTCTGTTGACCCTCTCAGGTGAAAGGTCAAATAAACTCATCCTTACTCAGTCTCTTCCCTCTGTCAGTATATTCCTCACTTCTAGCTGAGGATGTGTGCCATTATTTCAGCCAACTGTGCTAAGGCCAGACAGGGCATCTGTTCTGTAGATAGGTTCTGGCCTTCGTTTCTTTTCTTTACATCTAAAAATAGCTGTTCAGATAATGTAGACCAAATAACTGCTTGCTGGTAAAGGAATGACAGAATTAGTTGACTGTCAACAATCAAGTCATATTGTCTGTATCTGAAAAAGCATTAACTCTTGAACAGTTTAAAGCTATTTTGTTACTACTTATTGTTGACTTGTACACAGCCAATACTGGACATTTTCCTCTCTGTTTTTCTATAGAATACAGCTGGAGATGTAACTTTTCCTGAATCTTTTAACTGTTTGTTTGGGTGGGATCTTAACTGAAGTAATTAAAACAGCATCAGAAGCAGGATCCTTTAAAAGCTTAGTATAAAATGAATAAGTAACTAGTAAACCTATTTTGATGTAATTATTTTTGTGTTAAATGTTTTTCATCTAGTCAGCACTTTGTAAATGCATGCATGTGTGATCTATGAAAGGAAATAAAGTTGTAGAAAATTGAGGCTTCTTCATAGTCTGCAAAACAAAACTCTAGCATCCCTCTGCATTTGAGAATGATTAGGGGGGAAAAAAAAATCAATTTTCCAATGTGTTTTTAAGTTCTTAACATTCTGGCTTATTGAAATATTGTAAAAACCTGTCTGTATTATGCGATACTGAGCTCAGTCAGATGCTTCTGTGTTCTGAAAGTAATTGCAGCAGATATACTCAATGCATAACCTGTTAGTTTACTCTGCAACTACATTACGCTTCTCAGCTGTGGCTGAGGTGTGTATTTTCAGATTAAAACAGTTTCGCAAATTCTGCTGTGCAGTGAAACATGAAAATAGCTATGAGCCATGAAGCAAAGTAGAAGTGGGAAGCCATACATCATAATGTTAATCCAGGAGACTTGGAAGTGCTGCATTAGTAGGAATTTTTTAATTGCTTTTAAGTTTGAAGAATAACCTTCTTGGTCTGACTGCAGGTGTGTTGAATACACTGTGCTAAGTGTGCACTTGATGGGAATATTTGGAATAATGTTGCATAATGCTTTCTTCCCCTTTCTAATACATGGCAACAAACCTGTTTTTCTGCTGAATACCAAACCCATTGGAAATATAATAATGTTGACTGTTAGCAGAATATTATTTTTAATTGACTCTTGTTTGTTCAAAGAAATGTAAATATACTCTGGACTTCTCAGCTCACCAAAGTAGCCAGTAATCACTGTATCTCTGCTATAGCAGGTAGATATGATGGTTGCTGACATGTACTGTGTACAGAAGGTGGCTGGTCACCCAGCCTAGCCTGTTTGCAGAACATGGTGCATCAACTGATTTATGATATTCATCATTTCATTTTCCTGAAATAAATTTGGACTTCTATCTTAATAGCAAACCCTTTCAAGACATGTATTATGGCTGTCAAAAAAAGAGACGCTTAAAAATAGTGATAAAATTGTTAGACAATTTTCACAAGCCTAAGAATTAATGTTTTGGCAAGAGCTTGATGGAAAGCCAAAGAAAAAATAGAGAAGGGAGAGGGGCTGAAAAGCCTAAAATTCTCATTCTCTCTTCTGGTCCACAACAAAATTAAGTGTTTTGGTTTAGAACCAAGCATTTCCAAAATTGATTATATTGTGTCCTGCAAGCTGAGGTGAATAGTGGAGTCACTTTCACTTTGTCTGAAGATGAGCTGTTATAGGTTGGAAGGATTCGGTATAAACTTCTTTGTTTTAAAGCAATAACAAGACCCAGGATATTTTTTCAGAAGTGAGGGGATAAATCTTTCTTTACTTAAGTGGGAACCTCATCAAATCTTGTCTTTGAACTATTGGTTGTCCTTTGTTGGAGACCTCTTTAAGAGTCCTAAATGCCTATTAGGGAATACATTTACTAAAAAGGCCACTTCTGTCTTTGCTGAAGACTCATTCTTTCTGAAGTTACGTATTTAGCTTCTGTAACTGGAACAGTTTTGCACAGTTTGAATTAGGTATGTATTTATCGATGATGATGTTATAAATTTACAAGTAATTTGAGCATCAAGGGAAGGGAGGTAGGCTGCATCTGTCTTTTTTTCCTGACATTTAGAAAAAATAAAGTGAGAAGAGAAAGCTATAGAATGGATCTATAAAATTCCATTTCATCGAGATTTGTTCTGGTAGTAGGATCACTCTTGTGAGTAAGATGTGCAGTGGCGCTTCTGCCTGGTAGATGAGGTGGTTGTTTTGTTTTTTTTTAAACATCTGTTAAATTGAGAGCTGATCTTGACCTGAATTTTTAGTGAGAGAGAAACTGGTTGTTACAGTGTCTTCATTGTGACATGATGAAATCCTGCCAAATGTTTTTCCCCTTCACTGCTTTTAGTACACCAAGGTTTGAAGTTTGAGACCTGGGTCATTTGTAAATACAGTTAATCACGGTTCTATTGACTAAATTCCCATCACAATTTCAGTGTGAATTTAAAAAAAAAAAGCTCAGCTTGGTTTCCTCATAGCTTCTCTATACAAACAACACATTTATAACATAATTCCTTTGATTTAACTAAATGTCTTACTGCTATTCCAGAACTATCAAGACATATTTTACCACCAGAAGGGATTTTAAATTGGAACAAAACCACCTGAATTTAAAGAGAAATGCTGTTATAGTAGTTCATGGATCAAGATAAACAGTGATTATTGTGGAACTGATCAAATATAACTCCCTTGCTTTGATAGAGGAATGTCTGACAGGTGTTTTTTTGTCAAATACCAAGTGCTGTATGCTCATTAAAATACTCGCCCTAATTATGTTAAAAGAACCATTTTTTAAAATTAAGGTTATTTTTTGGTTTACACTTTGCTTTGATGTTTGGTCTCCTGTCTGTGAATTGACAAATTACTATGTGATTATTTCACTGTTGTGTACAACAGTTCTCATGTTTTGAATAATGTTATGTTTTCTAGATTTCATCATCCAATCCTCAGTCCTCTTGAAAGCAGTTTCCAGCTGGAAGTAGATGTGCTTGCACATCTCTTAAAGGCTCAGGCTCAGATCTCAGAGTGGAAGTTCCTTCCATCCCTGGTCAACTTGCACACTGCTCACACAAAACTACAGACTTGGGGCCAAATTTTTGAGAAACAGCGAGAGACCAAGAAGCATCTGTTCGGAGGGCAGTCTCAGAAGGCTGTACAACCTCCGCACCTCTTCCTCTGGCTGATGAAGCTCAAAAACATTCTCCTTGCCAAGTTTAGCTTTTACTTCCATGAGGCCCTTAGTCGACAAACAACAGCATCTGAAATGAAAACTTTGACTGCTAAAACAAATCCTGATTACTTTGGGAAAATTTCCAGCTTCATCCGGAAGTATGATGCTGTCAATGTTTCCTTAATTTTTGACAATCGTGGATCAGAGAGTTTTCAGGGACATGGTTATCATCATCCCCATTCTTACAGGGAAGCCCCCAAAGGAGTGGATCAGTACCCTGCAGTGGTGTCTCTGCCCAGCGACAGGCCTGTTATGCACTGGCCCAATGTAATCATGATTATGACTGATAGAACCTCTGACCTCAACAGTTTGGAGAAGGTTGTTCACTTCTACGATGACAAAGTCCAAAGCACGTACTTTCTGACTCGCCCCGAACCTCACTTTACCATTGTAGTTATTTTTGAGTCCAAGAAGTCAGAAAGGGACTATCATTTTATTTCTTTTCTCAATGAAATTTCACATTCCCTTAAGAACTCCAAAGCTTTTGCAAGCTTGAAGCCTGGATCCAAAGGGTAAAATGCAAACTACTTGCAAGTTGTCAAGGCAGTATGCCAGCCTTGGGGGAGCTGTAGCTTTCATGGATTACACAAATTCATGATTCTCAGAGTCTAATTAAAAAGGAACCATTATTTTTAATGTTGTAAGTTCCTTTTGTTTTTTTTAAGCTAACAGACACCTGAAGAAAAGGATTTTTGGGCAGTACTCAGTGGGACAACTTAATTGTGGGGTCCTCAATGGCCACAGTAGGACTTTTTTTGTGTGTTTTCAGTATGATTTATTTTTTTAGTCCACAACTTTGTTGTCTGTATCAGAAGGGAATATATGCACTTTATCTTAGTCTGATCATTGACTGACTTCTGCAGAGTTTATTGAAAATGTGGTGAGGATGGAAGATACTGTCTTTTCAGAAAACTGCATTGCCTGACAGGAATTATTTCTGGGAACTATACACTGATAGCAGGGAATATTAAAAAAGCGAACCTGCAAGAACAAATTTTAAATAAAACCACAAGAATCACAAAAGGCACTATTGTTAATTACAACTTAGTTTTCAAATGGTTTAAAATGATAATTGAGGTCTCTGACACTCTCTGTTAAGTACCAGTCTCTATTCTGAACACCCTGTGTCATAAAGTTTTGTCATTGCTCCAGAACACAGGCTGGGGTGAGAAAAGCTGCAGCGTGGGCTGGAAGGCCAGTATTCACTGGAGTGTTGTGACATTGTGTGTCCAGTACCAGTCTTGGCTCGGATTAACTGGAGACAAGCTGAGGTTGAGCAGGTATTCTAGAAAGAACAGCTCCGTGGCAAAAGCAGCAAAGCTCTTCTCAAGTTGTGCTTTTGTCTGGCTACCTTTTAAACAAACAAACAAACAAACAAAAAACCTCCATGGCAAAAGCAGCAAAGCTCTTCTCAAATTGTGCTTTTGTCTGGCTACCTTTTAAAAAAAAAAACAAACAAGCAAACAAAAAAACAACAACAAAAAAGGTGGTAGGAAATGCCAGTTGTAAATGAGTTATTTTCTAATTTGCTGTTAGGGTCAACCTGGATTTGTTTTCAGGTTTTTATAAGTATATAGTTTTTTCTTTCTGTTCAGTTTTAAATAATTTCACAATTAAGCCAAATAACTTTTGGAATTTGGATTTAAATATCTAGCCTATGCAGTACGTTTACCTCATTCTAAAATGTCTCTTTCACCACTAACTTCTATGCTCCAGGTTTGGAAAAAGTATGTTTTCTAGTTACCCTGAAAGTGCTTTATTTTGGAAATCAATATTTCCAAATACAATAAAAGGGTCAATTTGGCTGTACCTATAGCCTTGTATTGCACGATTCTTCTGACCGTTAGCTATGCAGTTGTGCAAGCACTTTCATGGGAATTCAGGAGGACTGATATGGGTCTGCTGTATGATGTATGTAAATTAGATCCTTAGCTGACACTGTAAGGTATAACATCATCAGGTTTGTTTTAAAAGGGAGTTTAAGTCGAAATGTTGGTTTCTGTTAAGACTGAAATCTAAGAGATACCGTTGCAGACATGGCTTTTACTGATTCCCTTTCTCTCCCCCAAAAGGTTATGGTAACTTGTCTTGCCTCTTGCTGCAAGTACTGATTTCTTTACAATCACATAAGCACGTTCTGGTCTTGAAATGTAAGCTCTGACTTTCCGCTTTGTGCCAGATAGAGCCTTCCATGCTTTGCTATGTTTGTCTGTTGTGAATATCTGTGCTACTGCCTTTCACCTGACGTCTTAGCCTGACTGCAGTACCTCTCTCAAAAGTTTACGGGCTGCTCTGTACTACTGGAAAATAACAGGAGTTGCAAATGTGCTAGCAACTGGGGGGCACCTGGTTGTAACAGCGTTACGCTTTGCAGCTTGAATTGCCCTTTTAACAGGACAAAGTTGCAAGTGACGGTATTGAGAGAGTTTGTGTGCTTCCCTCTGTGGGAGGGTGACCTTGTAATAACGTTGTACTACTGACTTCCTCAGCCGGAGTAACAGAAAAGAGGCTGTTGCCAGAACTGATTCCCAGTCTTCAGCAGTGTAATAAAGTGTTGCACAAATTCTGTCTGCCTCTACAGTATTTCCCCTTTGTACTAGCTGTCTGCGGGAAGGGGGAGAGGAGGCTGGGGGAAGAGTCTGCATGTGGGTACAGACACCTTGCTCATTTCTGAGTTGCAGGGGGCATGTTGCAAGAGGTGAAGGAGAAATCTGCTGCCCTTTGGAGCAGACCAGCAGCTTTTATGGTTTGCTGAAATGGCTGGAGGCTGTTCCCAGTGTTTTTTATGGGAAGAAGAAAAGGAGACAACTCTCTTCCTGGTGGTTTGCTGCACGCTTTTGCTACTTACTGTTTTTTTGCAAGTAGTGTCTCTGGGAACGGGGAAGGGATGCTAGGGGATGTTTCTACGCAGGAGGAGGTGAGACTTGCTTTGCCCCTTGTCAGTGGTGGGGTGGTTTGCTGCAGTTTTCTCTGGAGGCTCTTGGGGAAGCAGCCAGAGGAGCCATCCGACTTGTGGGTAAGAATTGCTGAATATTTAGGCTGAAGGGACCCATAACCACTATCCCATGGTGTGAGAAGGGAGGGAATGGGAGAGATGTGCAGGCAAACAGTGGGAGAGAACTGGGTGCTGGAGAGAGAAACTTTTGTGGAGCTGGCTCTGGGTTTCAGAGTCCTATCCCCAAGGCTGTCCTTGTAAGATCTCAGCCTTAAATTAATACAAGGTGGGGAGCAGAAAATCCAGGCCGTAGGAAGTGGCTTGGATGAAAGCTGCAGGGGTGAAGCTGAAGAGAGGTAACTGCACTAGAATCGATATCAAATAGTTTTGCAGAGTTGAGGTGTGCTATGACCGAAAGCTAAGTGTGTGTGGGTGCGAGTATGTGTATGAGGAATGAATATTTGCAGATTTGTTAGCTCCATGCAGACTTAGGGCACGGTTTCTTATTTGATGCTTTGGGGAGTTTACATTTCAAATGACAGATGAGTTCTCTACGATGTAAAATTGGCTAGGCCAGTAATAAAAACTTGCATAATTAAGGGGGGGAACATATATGTGGAGTAAGTAAAGGTGACCAGAAACTCAGTAACTGGAAAAAAAAAAAAAAATCATTATTAACTTCAGTACGGGAAAGATTGATCAGTCTCTTTACTGTAAGAATTGGAGAACAAATGCACTTTTGCCGAGCTGGGTGATATCCTGTCTGCCAGCTTTTCTTCTCCACCAATTTAGCTAAGCAAGATTGAATGTACTAATGTACTTTAAAAGTCTTGTATAAATGACTGCTTTAAATGCAAGATGTAACGATGTTTATGATAACACAATGAAAGCCAATGCTGCCAGACATATTTAGAAGTTTTTAAAACAGGTACCTTGCTTTTATATTCTTGGTACCACTCAGATTGCATAGAATAGCAACGTGGAAGCTTATCTTGTAGCAAATTTCATATACCTCATCACTTACTTGAGTCCATGAGGATTTTGGCAGAACATTTAATTTAGTATCTTTTGCCTGGAAGTGAATTTGACAGCAAATGTATTCTCAGATTTCTTACATATTTTATATTTGTGTCTTGTAAGCTGTTTTCTTTTACATGCGATGTTTGGGGTTTTTTTCTTGAATAAAACATCTTTTCTGTTCTCGCCCCTTTGCATGAAGACATAATGCAGGGAGTGGAAACTATTAATATATTTTGTATTGTGCTGCAAAGGACTGCAATATATCCACAATGCACGTAATATTCAGGTTTTAATGATACAAAAGTAATGTAAATTCCTGGTATCGATTTGAATACTAACACTCAGTGTTTATCTAATTCACTTTAAAAAAGAAAAAAAGTCTGTGCTATAAATGGAAAAAATTGTATGGCACTCCCAGTTAATTATTGCTCTGGTCCACTATTCATATACGAGCTTTTTGAGACGCTTGTGATCATTCTAGTGATTGTTCTTTGTTTGACATCAGTTATCTGAGGCTTCCTTCCGTACGTGTCTACGACGCCTGCTGCAGCAGGTCAGCCTGCTGCCTTTTACTGCACTCGGTCCCGACCTTCTTGTAACCCAGCTTTGCTTAAGAAAATCAGCAATGTGCTATGCTTCATTCCTCAAGTCCCGTTTTTTGTCCCAATATCTACAACCCCTCATCTTGTAGTAAGAAGAGCGTGGCACAGTGTGGCTGGCCCTGGGCTTGCAGTTAGCTCTGTGATTGCTTCCAGAAGCGCTGGCACTAAGCTAACTAGCTTGGCTGAAATTTTGGTGTTTCTTCCCTGTTTTCTCCAGAAGTCCCATTTTCAGACTCCCAGAGATACAAGCCAGCCCTGCCGGGGTGGACGCAGCCGAGGCCAAGCATTGCTTGTTTGCTCGGGCTCTGCCAGAGTCTCAAGAGTAGTAAGTCAGTGTCCTGCCTGCTGGGGACAACTGTTGTGCTGCTTAGCAGGGACGGCCTTTGGACTGCGATTGTGTCAAGGCGGGAGCCGTTTATGGGAGAAGCAGGAGAGGCTCTGGAGAGGAGAATGCTGACTAAGGGCGGCGATAGCGTAATGCTTCGCAGAGCAGGCACGTGAAATAAAGGAGTCAAATGGAAGACAGAATTGGATTTTGATTTCCTTTTCCTGCTAGTGAAGGACTGATTTAAAGATAAAGTCTCCTTTGGAGTATAAAGGTAACGGATTCTTTTGCCATGAAATTTTTTAAGTACTCAATCATTTTCCTCCGGGAACTGCCTCTTCTCCTCTCTTGCACATGTGTGGTTTTAACATATTGCCTGACTTATTTTTGTAATTGCTATGGGGCTTTTCTTGGAGAGTTTGCCCGTTTGAGTTCGGTGCACTCCTAACTCTCAACCTGGCATTGCAGCTCCTGGGTTTGTGGTAGAATAACAGAGCTCTCCACCTTGCAGCTGGGACGTGACCGTGCCCTAGCTGTACATGGCAGCAGTAAGAGTAGCAAAAGGCAGGAGAAGAGAAGGCAAGTCACTACATGATGGGCTGAGGTGGATGACAGCTCTGCAAAGGACAGGCAGGGAGAAGACAGATGCAAAAGGACTGCAATGCAGACAGACCGTGAGCAGAAGGTATTTGTTTGCCCCTCTGCGTTGCTGGCCTAATTTTACAGCAATCTGTATAAATTTCATATCCTGCAAAAGCTGTGCTAGACCCCGCCTGTAGTTGCTGCTGCTGGTTTTATGTGACTACTTTAAAGTAACTACACTATTTCCAGGGTGGTGGTGTTCAACCTTTAAGTACCAACAATCTTGGCAAAGCAGCTGGTTTTGGGCAGATGATTAAGACGGGCTTCGCT